GTGTGTGTGAGATCTGAGTGTGTATCTGCCTTCCTCTCAGTCTGTGATGCTATCTGATCACACACACACACACACACACACTCACACACACACATATGAGCGTCACATGAGGTGGAGGCGAGTCGAGCATGTTCAGGTCCACATGAGAAATGTGACCACTACACACACACACACACACACACACACACACACACACACACACACACACACACACACACACACACAGGCCACACGTGGCAGCAGCGGGGGGGCGGACCTCCTTCCATTCACAGCCTATTAATAGAGCAGTAAGCCCAGCAGCGTAGGCTGAGGCTCCGCCCACTGCTCACACACACACACACACACACACTGTGACACAGTCCCACAGCTGAGGCTCCGCCCACTGCCCACTCCAGAGCTCCTCACTGATGATATTTAAAGCTTCACTGAGCGACTCTCAGAGGATGTTGTTGTTGTTGTTTTTGGCGCCCCCTGTGGGTGGAGCCACTGATTTTCTCTCATATGTGTTTTTAGCAGAACTGTCCTCGTGTTTCCTGTCCACTGATCCAAACCCGGGCCCACCTCTGCTGTGTTCTGGACTGGTTTCAGAGCCCACAGAAACCTGGTTCTGCAGGTCCGGATTTAAGCCCGGTGGAGGTTCTGGAGGACTCCCAGCAGACTCTGTTTGTTTCTGATGAACTTGACGGGTGAAACCAGCCGCCGCCTCCGTCTCCTCGCTGACTGATGGCGCTGAATAACCCTGCAGGACTAACTCGTGGTCGTGTGGCGGGGTTCAGCGGCGGTTTGTGCGCTCGCTCTCTCTGTCACGCTCCTGAAACCTCCTCCGCTGTTTCAGATTTACGGTCGAACCCGAGGAAACTCTCCCACAGCTGGAGTCATGTCACGAAAACAAAGAAGAAACTGATGAGAACCACATTGACCTCTGACCCCGTCTGATGTCCACTCTTCTCAGAGGATCAGCTGTGTGGGACTAAACTCTCTCTGAACTCCAGGGGGCGACCTCGAGTTCAGAGAAGAAACCGATTCACCTCTTCAGATCGAAAGTTAACGCCGTCATCTCCGGGGTCGTCCCCCCCAGAGGAGCGCCGCTCACCCGTCTCTGTCGGATCGTAGTCTGACTGTAGGCGGAGCCGGTGAAACACGCTGTGAACTGACCCGGGATTTTCACCGCATCCTGAACGGCGGCGATCTTCACTGTCCGCCGATTCCCGCCAGATCCGTTGGTGAGGAGAATTTCGTGGCGGATTACAGACAGCAGACGTGAAGCTGAGGTGGTTCCTCTTCAGGTCCTCCATCAGCAGACGTGAAGCTCCTGAGAACCTCCTGATGTTCTCTCCTCATGTCGTTCATCAGCAGCTGTTTGTGTTTCTTATTGTTTTATTTTTTATTCTTCAAACCAAAGACGTCCTCTCGGCTCCTCGCCCAGTTTCAAACCGAGCGCTGATCATCATCCACCGCACAGCCTCTAGTGGACACTGAAGGGACTGCAGTTTTGGCCTCTTTTTTTACTCCTGAGGTTTCTGCTTGGTCCAGGTCTGAGAGAGGAGCTGAACCCCCAACGAGTCCTCCTCTGTTCAAGTCCTAAAAATCAGTTTTTCTGTGACCTCACGTCGACCTCCGAGATTTTAGACAAACAAAGATTTAAGGAAGAACTGAAGATCAACGGGCGCCATCTTTTCAGTCTGTTTACTGCTGTACTACACACACAGACACACACGCACACACATACACACACACACACACACACACACACACAGACACACACAAACACACACAGACACAGACACACACAGACACAGACACACACACACAGACACAGACACACACAGACACAGACACACACACACACACACACACACACACAGACACAGACACGCACACACACACACAGACACAGACACACACACACAGACACACACACACACACAGACACAGACACACACACTCACACACACACAAACACACACACACACACACACACACACAGATGTTGAATTAGAGGCCAACTGAACGATTAACGATCAGCTCGACCAAGATCAGGTTTAAGGATCAGACCAGGACAAAAAAAAGGAGGAAAGGAAGAAAGAAAAAAGGAAAGAAGGAAACATAGAGGGAAGAGAAAGGAAGAAGGAAGGAAGGAAGGGGAAAGAAAGAAGCAAAGGAAGAAGGAAGGAAGGGGAAAGAAGGAAGCAAAGGAAGAAGGAAGGAAGGGGAAAGAAGGAAGGAAAGGAAGAAGGAAGGAAGGGGAAAGAAAGAAGCAAAGGAAGAAGGAAGGAAGGAAGGAAGGGGAAAGAAAGAAGCAAAGGAAGAAGGAAGGAAGGAAGGAAGGGGAAAGAAAGAAGCAAAGGAAGAAGGAAGGAAGGAAGGAAGGGGAAAGAAAGAAGCAAAGGAAGAAGGAAGGAAGGGGAAAGAAGGAAGCAAAGGAAGAAGGAAGGAAGGGGAAAGAAGGAAGGAAAGGAAGAAGGAAGGAAGGGGAAAGAAAGAAGCAAAGGAAGAAGGAAGGAAGGAAAAGGGGAAAGAAAGAAGCAAAGGAAGAAGGAAGGAAGGAAGGAAGGGGAAAGAAAGAAGCAAAGGAAGAAGGAAGGAAGGGGAAAGAAGGAAGGAAAGGAAGAAGGAAGGAAGGGGAAAGAAAGAAGCAAAGGAAGAAGGAAGGAAGGGGAAAGAAAGAAGCAAAGGAAGAAGGAAGGAAGGGGAAAGAAAGAAGGAAGGAAGGGGAAAGAAGGAAGGAAAGGAAGAAGGAAGGAAGGGGAAAGAAAGAAGGAAAGGAAGAAGTAAGGAAGGAGAAATTAAGACATAAGAAAAGGAGGAAGGGAAGGAAGAAAAAGTGTTTGAATGTGTCTCTCAGGTATTTACCCCAGGTGTGGGTTCTGGAGGACCCCCATGATTCTCTGGATTCGGTCTATGGCCACGCTCTCCTGGAAGCTGCTCAGACCTGCGGGAAGATATCATCATCATCATCATCATCATCATCATCATCATCATCATCATCCTCCTCCTCCTCCTCCTCCTCCTCCTCCTCCTCCTCCGTCTTCACTCTCGTCAAATCTCAGAGACAGTAGAACGATGTCTGTCTCTGACCGCTCTGATTGGACGTCAACCCCAGGAGGAGATCTGAGCGCCATTATATCGTGTTAAATTTGATACAGCTGTAACGCTGACATCCATGTGTTCCTGTCTCAGACGGCGGTTGGGTTCTACAACTGTTCTGTTACCGTGGAGACCAAAGGACCGGGTACAAGTGGACTGTCTGAACCAGAAACAAGAACTGAAGAGCAGGAACGGTATCATCAGCTACCTTTACATGATGAGGTCAAACCTGCAGGGGGCGACAGTGTGTGTGTGTGTGTGTGTGTGTGTGTGTGACAGAGACACTCACGGTCAGAGTAGCGTCCTGATCTCAGGCCCTGCAGGATGGAGGACAGCGGCTGGATGTAGCACTGCAGGTCTGAGCACTGAGAGAGACAGAGAGGCCGGTTAGCATTGATGTGTGTGTGTGTGTGTGTGTGTGTGTGTGTGTGTGTGAGATGCAGACATTAACAGCTGAGAAACTGATCCGCCCCCCCCCTCCTCAGATCCAGACTGCAGGAGAACCTGAACCCTCAGACCCTCAGACCCTCTCTCAGGACGCTCTGATATCTGACCTTCCAGACAACAACTTTCACTTCACCGTCCCTGTTTCTGATTTATTATTCCACACTCTCAGAGCCTCCCGGTGCATGCTGGGAAGTGGGCGGGCTGATGGTTTTAGACATCCTCCCAAACTGGACGGATAAATTGATCATGTTTATGGTCTCTGAAGTCTACATTTATGTCACCATACGTCCTCGTTTACCCGGACATGTCCTCTCTTTGGTTAGTGTCGTTAATGTGAGCCAATCAGAATCCAGACTCCAGATCAGAGCGAAGCGGGAATAAACTTCTGATCTGTGTTTGAAAATTTGATACAGGGATCGATAGAGAATCAGATCAATCAGGAGAATCAATAAGATGATTGAGCCCTGAAAACCTCAGCGACCTCTGACCTCTGAGCTCATACTGCTAAATCTAACCCTGAGAGGACGCTGAGGACGGCGGAGCTGCGGCTTCTTCTAATGACGGTTTGACTTGTTTGACGTCACGATGTCAGTTCAGCTCAACTCAACTCAACTCAACTTTATTTGTAGAGCACTTTAAAACAACCACAGCTGTACAAAGTGCTGTACATAACAGGACAAAAACAACAAGATAAAAAACAATTAAGAAACAATTAAAACAATGGATAAAATAAAAGCAGAATTAATAATAAAATATAGCTTCAATGTTTTTAAAAACTAATTTAAAAACATAGAAACAAATAACTAAAAACAAACCATAAAACACTAAAACAGGAGCCGAGTGTCATGGAGGGTTAAAAGCCAATGAATAAAAATGGGTTTTAAGACGAGCTGAACGAGGACAGCAGCTGTGGTCCAAAACAACAATTAAAGGATGAGAGTAATTACTAACAACAACCACAACAACACCTGAGGCTGCTCTGAGGTCATGGCGACCCTGTTTTTAAGGTGGACCAGCTCAGACAGGAGGAGTCGGTCAAACTTCTGTCTTCACACCGACAGGAAGTTCTTTAAAGGAGACGGACAGAGACGTCCTTTAAGAACATGACGCAGGATGGTTTCATGGTGGACCCACAGGTCGGACCGCCGACTGAAGGGAACATTTATACAGAAGCTAATGTAACTGCAGATAACACATGATGGGAAACTAGCGGAGGCGCTAACCTGAGCCTCAAAGGTTCTCTGTGGAAGTTTAACGACCCTGAGCTGTGTGGAAAGAAACACCCCAGACTGAGTGGATCTGAGGCTGTCAGCAGAATCTGAACACCATTATCTCTGATACGCTGAGATTTGATGACAATAAAAAAATACAAAAAAATATATTAATAAATTAAAATGATAATAAAACAAAAACAATAATAATAATAATAAATACTATTATTATTATTAGTATAAATATTATAACAG